TGGCTGCTGTACAGCTAGCTAGGTTAGATCCTGATGTGGCTGTAGGAGTGTGACCAGGGAAAGCTGGAAGGTGAATGATCAAACCTGTTTGACATCTTGCCAGGCAAGGAGAATACACACTGTAATACCTCTCTGACCCCTGGATTATTATTTTTTAAAAAATTATAGCTCTCAGAAAAAGTGAAAACTTCTATCCTGGTTCAAGACTAACAACTGCAGCCAAGAAAATATGTTTCCTCATGAACCTGACTGAGGGTTCCAGTTGCAGTTCATTAGAAAAAGATTGATAAAAGGAAAAAAAAACTACCATATTTATTCAGTAAATAAGGTAGCAAAATTTTCACAGGCTACTGAGTTTATTTCTCTGAACAAAAGAAAATCTGTTGACCACAGCCTGGACCTTCTAGAGTATCAGTGGGTTTTGTTAACACAGGTATTTTTATGCAGTCACCCCTTTGTCTAAGGAAAGGCTGCTGGGGAAATGTACTTTCTTGAACGCCTCCTTGGTTATTGTGCCAGTAAGTTTCTTTCTGGAATGTTTTCATCCAGATATTTGTCCATTTTTGCCTAGCATTTTCTGGGAACCCAAAAATAGCTCAATGATGAATTCTAACAATGGCATAGCTCCAAATGCTGCCATACCAGATCTGCCTGCAGCTTCCGGGACCCCTAACTGGACCCTGGAGCATGAGGGTCTACTTCAGAAAGTGTGACAAAGGTCCCGATGGCAGAACTGCGGGCAATGCACTTGCCTTGCACCAGAATCACCTGGGTTTGATCCCTGCATCCTATATGGTTCTCAGAGCATTGCCAGGAGTGATTCCTGAGTCCAGAGCCTGGAGTAATCCCTGAGCATTGCCAGGTGTGCCCAAAAACCAATAATCCCCCCCCCAAAAAATAATGGACACCCTATGGATATTTACTCCAGGTCCTGGCACCACCTCAAGACCCTCGGTGGAACCCTGAGGCATCTTCTGTGCCTATCACTGTATTTTTTTTTGTGCTGAGTTTTAGTATGTTTGTTTTTGGTTTGGGGGCTACACTGCCTGCAAATAACAATTTTATTGTTAAATTTTTGGGCGTTTTCATTTCAGCTGTGCTTAGAGTTTGCTCTCTGTAAAGAGGACCAAGTCTTTATTATATTGTCAGTTTTCTCTTTGTATTTTCCTGGAGGTTAGAGAGCTTCAAAGACTCCTTCACTTATTGTTCATTTTTATATACTCTTTACTTTTTCATTAAAATCCACTGGCAATTTATGGTGGGGGGGGGTTGGAACATAACCAGTGATTTTTAGGGGTTAATCCTGTCTCTGCACTCAGGAATGAACCCTGGTGGTGCCAGAGAACCACATAGAATGCCAGTGATTGAAATCAGGTTAGTTCATGAAAGCCAAGCACACTATCAGTAGTACTATCTCTCCCCTTCAAAGAATCCACTGCCAATTTTGTTACTTTTTTTGGTTAACTATTAAAAGTCATGAGTGAGCTTAAATATTGGGTACTAATTCTTATCAGATAAGTGAATTACAAATATTCTTTTTTAATATGTCCTTTTATTAGTAGAGGGATGCTCATTCTATACACCTTCTTTTAAGTTTGGTATAGTTTCATTTGAGTAACTTTACTTTTTACCTTTGTTTTGGGGTCAAATACAAAATATACTTTTAAAGCAATTCTAGATTATATACATAATAGTCTAACCACTAATTCCTGTTTATTTATTGTATTTGGGCCACACCTGCTGTCCTCACAGCTTACTCGTGTCTCTGTACTCAGGCATCCTTCCTGGTGGGGATTGTAGCATCACACATGGGATGCTTGGGATCGAATCCAGGTTCACTGACACCACAAGGCAAGCACTTACCACCGTAAATCTCTCTGTCTCTACCCATGTTTTATATCCCAACATCCACATGTCAGGTAATGTTAAAATTCAAAGGGCATCATACCCAAAATGACTATGTTCTTATCAAAGAGGAAACTGGGTAAGCATAGGGTCCTAGCATTTCATATGAATCTATTAACAGATGAGTAAATCAGTAGGATAAAACATTATCTTCTTAGTGGAATGAAAATAAAAATTAATGAACAATTTAGTTAGAAAATGAGACCAGATAAATGTTAGACAGATTAAGGCACTTGCCTTGCATATGGCTGACTCTGGTTCAATTCTGGAACCCCATATGGTCCCCCAAACCCTGCCAGGATTTATCTCTGAGTGTAGACACAGGAGTGACCCCCAAACAAAAAATGATCTTAAATTATTTGGGGGCTTGTTTATTTTTTTCAGACACCATGATTTACAGTACTTATGATATCACTATTTTAGGAATATATTGATACTACCCCACGCCCACCACCCAAGTATCAGCCTCCCTCCACCCAGGTCTCCAGCTCCCCTCTCCCCTCTCACACCCACTGCTCCTTTGTCAACTTGCCCTTTGTCAACTCAGTTCTGTTCAGACTGTTCTGTCCTGTAAGCAGTCTTACAGTTGGTTGCTCTATTCCCCACACAGGAGAGATCATTCATCTTAGTCCTTTCTTTGAGTCACTTTGCTTACCATGATAACTGCCATTCCATCCAAGTTGCAGTGAAGTGCAAGATTTCATCTTTCTCTATAAACAAATAGTATTTCATCTCACACACACACACACACACACACACACACACACACACACACATGCTATTAGCTATAAGCACCACAATTTCTTTATTCAGTCACCTGTTCTTTGACACTCTGGTAGTTTCCAGATCGTGGCTATTATGAATCCTAGCTGCAAAAGAACTTTAGAGTCCAAATGTCTTTTCTTATTAGTGTTTTGCTGGTAGATGCTAAGGAGTGAAAGAACTGGGTCATGTTTCATCCAGTTATTTTTGTTTGGAGCCATATTCTGGTGGTGGAGTGGTGGTTGTTGGGGGGGGGGGTGGCTACTCCTCACTTGGATTTTTCCGCCAGTTGTACTCAGGAGATCATTCTGTGCGTACCATTAAACTCCGTGTCCAGACCTGGAAGTCTAATTCTTAATTTTTGAGAGAGGCTCTGCTGTAGTGTTTCCCATTGGGGGCTGAGTCAGATGATGACCTCACCAACAATGACGGGGGGGGGGGGGGGGGGGGGAGGGGGGAGGGGGGGGAGGTTCTTGTCTCACCACCTCCCTCTAGCACTGGTTGGTTCCATTCTTGGAAGTGCCCATTCTCACTGGTATGAGGTTCCAGCTCTCCTTTGGATTTGCATTTCTCTGGGAAGTTTTGGAGAGTGCTTTTTTGTCTTTTGTTGTTGGGATCTAGGCACTATTCCTGGCAGTGCTTGGGGGACCATAAGTAGTGCCCAGGATTCAAATTAGGGTTAGCCACATGTAAGGTAAGTCTCTTAATCCTTGTACTATCTCTCCAGTCCATGAAGAGCCCTTTGGAGTGGGGAGTGCAGGATCTGTCCACACCTGGCAATGCTGAGGGGGCCATTTGTGGTGCCAATGATCAAATCAGGGCTTGCCAGGTGCAAGGATACTACCACTTTATCCTTGGTAATATCTCTCAGTTCCCCCCCACTCCGAGCACTTTTTCATATATCATGTATGTCTTATTTGAGGAAATGTCTATTTAGCTTTTGCTGGAAACTGAACCCAGGTGGGCCACATGCAAGGTAAAATGCCCACTCCGTGGAACTATCACTCTGTCCCCTAAGTTCTGCAAATTGTTAAAAAGACGATATTGGTGCTTTGTCTAATAGGTGAGCACATATTTTCTTACACTCACTGGTGGGAGAGTGACATGGTTTCTAGTGCAGCTTTCTCGCTAGGAAAATACGTTCGTTCAGAGTCTATTTCGAATCCTCATGTCCTCAAGCGTAGTCTCTCGGTTATCACCAAACACTGAGAGGCATCGGCACTCTATTGTAAAGTCAAGGGAAGAAAATATGAAAGATGAAATAATTTACTCCATGTTCTAGTGTTTATCAGGAGTCCAGGTTTCCAGATTTAAAAAAATCCAGGTTTCTGTTTGATCCTGGTACCCACCCAGGCAGTTTGGTACGACCTACTGAGCTTTATTATAAACTTTCATATAGTGGACCAAAATAATTATAAGATGGGGCTGAAGCAATATTACTATGGGCAGGGTTCTTGTCTTGCACGCGGCAGACCCCGGATTAGATCCTTGGCATCCCCACATGGTTCCCCAAGGCCTGCCAGGAGTGAATCCTGAATGCAGAGTCAGGTGTAAGCCCTGAGCACTGATGGGTGTCGCCCAAAACCAGAAAAAAAAAAGTTGTAAAGAGTTTAATAGTACCATAGCTCCATAGTGTTGGAAGCCATGTGTAGCCTCCTGCAACAAAGCATCACCGGCTGTGGGTGTGAACCTGTGAAATCATGCTGTGACATAAGAAAACTAGTCCTGAACTTCCTGAGGATTTCTGTAAAAGCGAGATAACAGGGCAAGCTCGAAGGCTGACTGCAGCCCATCCTGCACCCCAAGGTCCCGCTGCTTGTAGGAGCGACCCCAACGCGGGGTAGGGCAGCCCCTGAACACTGCAGGACACGGCCCAAGCCACTCTCGGTGCACATAGTATAAAATGCACGTACTTAACCTGCGGACACCTATGGACAACACACTAAGGGATCACGCCGATCGCGCCGCTGCCGCCCCGCAATCCCGGGTCTAGCCTGCGAATGCCCAGGACCTTCAGCATCCAGCATCCAGCGGCGCACGCCTCCGGGCGCCACTTCCGCAGTGGAACCCGGCTCCCTCCCGCGGCCGTGGGCGTGGCCCTGCGTGGGCGTGGCCAGCGGCGCGAGCCAATGAGGCCGCAGCAACGTGGCGGCCGGGCGCGAGCCCGCGTCTCCGCCCGCCGCGCCGGCGCCAGGCCCCGCCCCGCGGGACTCTACTACCCGGAGCCGGCCGGGGGGGGGGAATCCCGCGGCTCCTGCGAGCGCCGAGCCGGGCCGGGGCCCCGCGTTCCCCCCCGCGCCCGCGCCCCGTGGCCGCGCCGGCCGCGCCGCCGCTCCCCACCGCTTCCGGCCGCGCCGCGCCCGCGCCCCTCGCCTGTGGATGCTGCGCTTGTCGGGCAGGAACATGAAGGTGCTGTTGGTCGCCGCGCTCGTCGTGGGCTCCGTCGTCTTCCTGCTGCTGCCGGGACCCTCCGCGGCCGACGAGAAGAAAAAGGGGCCCAAAGTCACCGTCAAGGTACGCCCGCGCCCCGGACCCCGCGGTGCCTCCGCGCGCGCCCCGGACCCCGCAGCCCTGGACCCCTCGATGCCCTCCCCGCGCCCCCCCCGCGGTGCCTCCCCGCGCGCCCCGGACCCCGCAGCCCCGGACCCCTCGATGCCCTCCCCGCGCCCCCCGCAGCCTCCCCCGCCGCGCAGGGCCCTGCGAGTGAGTCTAGACGCGCTGCAATGGGCCCGGCCCGGAACCGGGAAGCCAGAAAGGAACAAAACCCCAAACTGCGGCGAGCTCAGGCCCGCTTCCTTGGGTTTGATGCGTTTGATGGAGCAGCTGGTAGATAGACCCTGGGCCCACGGGCAGTGCCGTTCAGGAGGGCTGAGCTGGCCTGACCTCCCCAAAGCCGCTCCAGCCCCCCCCCACCCCTGCCCGAACCCCGAACCTGCCCATTTTCTCCCCCCTTCTCAGCCCCCTTCTAGCGAGACCCCTCTTCAGGGCCAGGCACTCACTCCTGTCCCCCCAGGTGTACTTCGATCTGCGCGTGGGCGATGAGGACATTGGCCGGGTGGTCATCGGTCTCTTCGGGAAGACTGTGCCCAAGACAGTGGATAATTTCGTGGCTTTAGCCACAGGAGAGGTAAGTGGCCGTGAGAGATGAGTGGCGGTCAGCTCATGCCAGTGAAGCTTTTGGACCAAGGCCTGGACCATTTGTGTGCGGAGCCCACAGAGCTGTCTCCCTGGATGCCTGTCCTTTCTTTTGCTCCCCCCCCTTACTCTTTCTTCCTCCCCTCCCCCCCCCCATTGTTTTTGGGCCACACTTAGTGGTGCTCAGGGGTTACTCCTGGCTCTGGAATTACTCCTGCTGGTGCTTGGGGTATCATATGGGATACCAGGGATCAAACCCTGGTCAGCCAAGTGCAAGTCAAGCGCCTACCACTGTCCTATCTCTTCTGCTTCCACCTTTCACCTTGAAGAGAATTTACCGACCAAAGGAAACATCTATGGAGGGCTCAAGAGATGGTGCAGGGCACTGTCGCTCGCCTGGCATGCAGCCGTGCTGGGCATCACATCACTGCAGGGTTCCTTGAGCACCGAAAGATGTGGATCCTCTGTCCCCATAGACACTCCTGTAAAGAAAACACTTGGGGCTGGAGCTGTGGCACAGTGGAGAGGGCATTTGCTTTCCATGCAGCCAGCCCAGGCTCCATCTCTGGCATCCCGTATGGTCTCCAGAGCCCATCAGGACTGATCCCTGAGCACAGGACCAGGAGTAAGCCCTGCTAACTGCCAGGTGTGGCCCCAAAACCAAAATGAAAATACAGGGGCTGGAGCCTGCGTGTGGCCAGCACGTTATTACAGCAGGGCGGGTGCTTGCCTTGCATGTGGCCAACCCCGTTCCACTGCCAGCAATGCATATGGTTTTCCGAGCCTCATCAGAAGTCAGCCCTATGCACCGCCAGATGTGCACCCCTCCACCCCCCAACCCCCATGCCCCTCAAAAAATAAAAAGAAAAAAAAAACTAGTGATGTGAGCACCAGCGCTCATGTTCTTTTTTTTTTTTGAGAGCACAGGGTCTCCACGTGTGCTGAGAGGGCTCAGGGCCAGCAGTGTCTGCCTGAGGTCTGCCCAAAGGAGAGATGCCCACTCCTCAGCCCGGTGGTGCCTGGGGGTCGAACTTGCACATGCAAGATATCTGCACAAGCTCATTCTTTGTTGTCATCTTCCCCCTGTGCCATGTACACACACATCACACAGCTTATTCCTTTTGGTTTGGGGGACATACCCAGTGGGCTCAAGTCTTACCCTCCTGGCTCTGGAGCTCTGGGATCACTCCTGTCACTCCGGTAGAGCTCAGGGAACCATATGTGGAGCCCAGGTCAGCCGCATGTAGCACAAACACCTTCCTCACTGTACTCTCTCTCTCTGCCCGAGAACTTGACTCTTTTTATCTTGGTGACTGAGTAGGGTGTGTGTACGAGGTGTTTGGGCCACACCTGGCGGTGCCCAGGTATCACTCTTGCTTAGCTCTGAGGAGCATTCTTCATGGTGTGCAGGGGATTATATGGGGTGCTCGGTATCAAACCTGGGTCAAGTTAGTGCAAGATGAATGCCCTGCCCACTGCAATTGCTCTGGCCTCCACAAACCCATCACTCCAGGTGGGGATTGGGGGCCATATGTGGCACTGAGGATTTGAACCTGTGTCATCCATATGAAGAGCATGTTCCCTGCTTGCTGGACTATCTTCCTGGCTCCTATGAACATAGTCTTAAAGAGCCAGAGGCCCAGAGCATCCTAGGCCCTAAGAAAGGAGCACCTGTATAGGAGAGTCTGTTGCAAGTTCCTACTTGGGCCACATGTCAACCTCATCTGAGGAGGGTTTAGTCCCTGAACTATTTGGCCACATTTTGTTTTGTGGGGCTGGAGGTGGGAGAGGGGGCTGTTCTCGGTATTGACCCCTGGTCTTTCTTGAAGGACCCTCTGTGATGCTGGGGAGTGAGCCAGGGTTAGCCCTATGCAAGGCAGGAATGACTTACATAATGTCTTTCTGACCTGTGTCTGGCCCCATTTTGGGGTCACGTGTGAATTCCCACTCAGGCTGTCTAAGCCCTTCGCTCGGGGATGACATGTGGCTCTCTCGCGCCACCTGCCTTCTGTGCTCTCAGGCGGCTTCTCCACCTGGGACGGCTCTTGCCTTGGGCGGATGAAGGAAAAACGAGGGCCACGCTGGTTGCTGATAGCTGCCGTTTATTCAGTCTCTCGTCTCTCCCAGCTCTCTCCACCCCCTCTCTGACTCGCTCTACAGTGCTCTCCGTGACCCCTCTCCAACCTCCCCATGGGAAGCGTAGTAAAAGTGTTTTTCCAGACTTCCCGACCACCTGCAGCCCACGAGGGCAAAACAGCCCTTACGGTGTGTTTCTCCTCTCTTTAGACCTGCAACTTGGTTAATATCTTTAATTCTCCTTCCTAATATTTTCCATTCTGTAATATACACTTTTAGACTTGTAGGGTGGCTCTCCTGGGGACTTCTTGCTACAGACCCAGACTACAGTGCTCAGGCCCGGTCAATCATTCCTCACCTGAGCAGGGTCCAAATCTAGTTATTACTTTGGGATCATGACAGAATTTGTCCATGACCAAGCTCTTATAGTTAAACATTAGGGAACTTTGGCCAGGCCCATTTTGATGCCAGGTTAGCTAACTCACCACTTGCCCTGAGTTCATCCAGTCCCTGGTCGGGACCCTGCTTTTGGAGGTAAGGGCTGCTGAGGCTTTAGTCGAAAGAGCAGATGTCCAGGAGGTATATTAGCTGGAGTCAGTCAACTCCCAACCCACAGACTTGGGGTTGGGAGTCTTTCTAACTGTCTTCCTGTATTCATACAAAAAGCACTTGCTCTGAAATAACTAACCATGCGAAGGACAGTAAGGAGAAGAGAAAGACAATATTTACAAGTCAAAGTCTGATCAGGAGACAAAGATAATTGACAGGTTGGGGGGCAGTCAGCAAACACAAGTTCCCAAGGGCCAGGGAGAAAGGGCAAACCATTATTCTGCAGGGTCACTCTTCTGGTTTTTGCTTGGGGGCCACACTTGGCAGTGTTCAGGACTTACTCTTTGGTTCTGCATTCAGGGGTCACACCTGACGGGCTCCGGGACCATGTGCATGCTGGAGATGAAGCCTGGGTGGACTGCCTGCAAGGCCAGCACCCTGCCCTGTGCTATGGCTCTGTCCTGCCTTTCTTGCATCTGTTCCTGTTGACGCTGCTTGTCGGGAGAAGGTGGAGGATGGGCGCATGGTGTAGCTGGTAGCCGAGAAGCCCACTGTGTTGGCGCTGTGTGCCTGCCTGCCCCCAGAAGCCCATGCTGCCTCCTCACCTGCCCTCTTTTTCCCCCTTTTTTCTTTCAAGAAAGGATTTGGCTACAAAAACAGCAAGTTCCACCGGGTGATCAAGGACTTCATGATCCAGGGTGGAGACTTCACCCGTGGCGACGGCACTGGAGGTAATGTGGGCAGAGGGCAGGCGCGGGTCGAGGGGTGAGACTCCCCCTGCCCCAGCTGCAACAGTCAGGGGGGACAGGGGCCCATGTTGGCAGATGTGGCCTTACCTGCCTAATCACTGCTGGCCCAGGTCTGATCCAGGGTGGCCTGTCTCGGGTGCACCAGGGACGGGCCAGTTGAGGGTCAGAGTGTTAGAGGGGACCACTTTCCCCAGCCTTACGCCTCTCTGCCAAATAACTTAGTTTCGGGGGTGTCAGGGGAGGGGTGTAGGTCCACACCCAGTGGTGCTCAGGGATCAGTCCTGACTCTGCACTCAGCAATCAGTCCTGGCGGTGCTTGGGGAGCCGTATATGGGGTGCTGGTATCAAACCTGAGTCAGACTTGTGCAAGACACATGCCCTGCCAGCTGCGCTCTCGCTCAGGCCTCCGCAAACCCATCGCTCCTGGTGGGGCTCGGGACCGTATGTGGAGCTGGGGACCCGAACCCAAGTTGGCCACATGCAGTGTGAGTGGCCTGCTCACTGGACTCTCCCTCCTGGGCCCGTTCCCAGCACCCCGTCTGACCTTTGCGGCTCTGGCACCCTCGGGACAGGGGTGCGGGGATGCGCAATTTTGCTCCGCCAAGAGCTTGAGGGCCCTTAGCTGCCCCACCCTGTCTTGGCATGGCAGGCCGGACTCGGGTTCCTGCTGAGGGCACAGCAGCCCTGGCACAGCAGATGCGTTTCCTTCCGAACCGGAGACCCAGATGGGCCCCAAGGAGATAATTAAGGTTCAAACTCATATTTGGTTTGGTTTGGGGCCCCCCTGGTGGTGTTACTCCTGTCTTTGCACTTTGAGATCAATCCGGGGGGCCCTTATGGGGTGCTGGGATTGAGCCCGGGTCAAGTGCCTCCCCGTGAGACTGTCCCTCCAGCCTGTTTGCTGGTTTTTCATCCTCTCCTTTGGAAACCCTGGGGGGACTCTGGAAGGTCGCACTTAGATCAGTGCAGAGGGTGGACACGTCCCATGTCTAACGAGTTTGAGAACTGGACCCAGCACGTCTGAGCTGAGTCCTCTGAGCTCACTCACTCTCCTGGACAGTGCTTGGGGCTGTGGGTGCCCGAGTATAGGTCAGGTATAGGTCAGGTGCCTGCAGGGCACGCCTCAGGCCAAGGCAGGGAGAGGGATGAGCCGGCCTGGCCGGGGGGGCCTTGTGGGCAAAGGAGCGGCAAGGTCAAGGTGTGAGCCAGGGCTGAGCCCAGTGGACTGGCACCCATGGGAGGCCCTGGGATTGACCCTGCCACCACCTGATCCTTCCGTCCCTTAAGGAAAGAGTGGGGTTCAGGAGGCCTGGAAATGGAGCCCCTGGAACCGGACCAGGGCCTTGTCCTCCTGAGCTACATTCCACTAGGCCTGGGGATGTCTGGGGTGATGGCAGGGCTGGACATGTTTGTGTGGTGCCCAGAGAGGGTCTCGTGGAAGGAGAAGCAGAGATCCCAGAGCCAGGCCCCTGGGTGTGGAGTCCCTGCTGTGCCGTTTTCCAGCACCCGGCCTCTGCCTCAGCTTGGAATTGGGTGTTCAACTCCTGCCTCACAGGGTTGGAGTGTGATGCTTGGTGCACACCCCAGCCTACCATCTGTGCGCCGGTAATCACAGTGCCTCAGTTCCAACAGAGATCGGAGAGCGTGGAGGTCACAGTGAGGAGTCATGGGCCCAAGAGTTAGTGGGGTGTGCAGACTCTCACCTTGCATGGAACCGACCCCAGTTTGAGTGCTGGGATTGTGTTGTCCTCCAGCAGCTTCTGAGCACTGAAGTGTGATCCCAAAACCTCCTAAAGAGGGAGTGAGAAGGGACCAGGGTGATAATACAGTTGGCAGGGCATGCGCCTTGTATGCAGCCAACCCAGGTTTGCGCCCTGGTATCCCACCAGGATAATTCCAGAGTGCAGAGGAGCACCACCAGGACTAATTCCAGAGTGCAGACCTAGGAGTAACCCCTAAGCATTGCCAGGTGTGACCCAAAAAAGCGAAAGATAAAAACGAAATAAGAATTAGTGCCTGGGGCGTGTCTCTGGACAGGACATGCAGCTGTGTGCAGCCCCGAGCCCAGCAAAGATTGAGCCCATTTAGGTGTTTACCCTGTCTCTGGGGAAGGCTTGCGCGCAGGCATAGGTTGTGGGCTTACTCAGGAAACCCGAGAGTGGAGTCCACCTTGGTTACGACCACTCTGATTGGGTGCTTCCGGTGAGTACTCTGGGCGGGCCTGGTCTGAGTCTGTCTCAGCTTCCCCCCTGTAGAAGGTGGGTTTGGGGGACCCTATGGGGTGTTGGTGATTGAACTCTGGTCAGCTGCACTCAAGGCAAGCGCCTTCCCCGCTGGACTGTCTTCTGCCCTACAGCTTTCGCTTTCTGCTCGTTCTTAGGTAAGAGGTGCTTGGCTTTCTGGGACACAAATAACAGCCCCTAACATCCCCCTCTGCCCCCTCCCCCCACCAATTCTCTCTCTTCTTAGGGGGGGACAGTGTGTGGTACTGGGGATGCAGACTCACTCAGCATGCAAGTACCCGCGTGACCCTTCCTTAGAGGCCATCACAGTCCTGCCGTCAGAGGAGCTGTGTATGAACTCTGGCTTCTAAATAAGTATGGTTTATGGTCAGGAGATAGGTAAAAAGGTAAAGGCCCTCCCGTTCATCATCGATTTGCTCGAGCGGGCCCAGTAACGTCTCCATTGGAGACTTTGTTGTTACTGTGTTTGGCATATCGAATACGTCACGGGGAGCTTGCCAGGCTCTGCCGTGCGGGCGAGATACTCTCGGTAGCTTGCCGGGCTCTCCGAGAGGGGCGGAGGAATTGAACTCGGGTCGGCCATGTTGGCTGCATGCAAGGCAAACGCCCTACCCGCTGTGCTATCGCTCCAGCCCATGATCAGGAGATACTTCATTTTATTTAAATGTTACTTTAGGCACCATGATTTACAGTATTGCTCTTGGGGGATTCTTCAGGAACATCCCAGCACCGCCCTCTCCCTGAGTGTCGCTTCCCTTCACCATTGTCCCTGTGTCCCACAGGTGTTTTGATTTGTGTCCTCATGTACCCGGGCTGTGTGAGAGCTTCCAGGGCACAGGGATGGCTGAAGGCAAAGTTCAAGCAGCCCTTGCCCTAGACTGTGTCCATCTGTGCTCTGGCGTCTAAACCAGAGGGGAGGGACAGAGGTGTGTGTGGCCCTCACGCCCCACCTGGCTGCTGAGGACAGCTCAGACTGAGACCCCGGCTATTGCTTGTCCAGGGAATGAAACTCCCCCGATCTCTCCTCCCAGGTAAGAGCATCTATGGCGAACGCTTCCCTGATGAGAACTTCAAGCTGAAGCACTACGGTCCGGGCTGGGTGAGCATGGCCAACGCGGGCAAAGACACCAACGGCTCCCAGTTCTTCATCACTACGGTCAAGACTGCCTGGCTGGATGGCAAGCACGTGGTGTTCGGGAAAGTTATTGAGGGCATGGTGAGTTGGGGTGGGGGTGGCGCTCGGTGGGGTGCTGCTCAGGGGGCTGCGCTCAGGCCCTGGCAGCACCAAAGTTGGTCGCGCAAAGCAACCCCACACTCAGACCCAGCACATGGCAGAAACCTGAGGGGTCTGGAAGAACGAGCCAGCTTCCCAGTACACCCCAACTTCTGAGCACCCCCAGGGCCTGTGTCCATCCCTGCGCGGCCCAGCCTGGCCTGTGCCTTAGGGGACCCTCCCAAACGCTGCAGCCCACAGTGGCGCTGGACCCCAGGGCCTCCATCTCCCTGTGCTCAGAGTCTCCTCACCCTCCCTCATCTTCTGCTTCACCTTACAGGAGGTCGTGCGCAAGGTGGAGAGCACCAAGACAGACGGGCGGGACCGGCCCCTGAAGGACGTGACCATTGCGGACTGTGGCAAGATCGAGGTGGAGAAGCCGTTTGCCATCGCCAAGGAATAGAGCTGCAGGGAGCACTTCCTGTGAGCACGTGTCTGCAGCCAGCAGGGTCCTCCGAAGGCAGAGACTGCCTCCGCGCCATGTTTTACCAGGGGTGCTGGCGTCCAGGGAGCGGACCCCACCCACATCCACTTGCCCGGCCACCCACCCACCAGGCTCGGTTTTATAACAAATTCTTACCAATGCTGCAAAGTACAAATAATAAAAGGTGGGTTTTTTTTTTTAAAAAAAAAAACTAAAACTAAACCCTATGTGAGGGCTGGGTTCTCGAAAATGTAAGGCTCCCCTCCTCCATGCACCTGGATTCTAAAATAAGATACCGAGGTCAGCTACTCACCTGGAACAGGGATGCGGACATAGGGATCCAGGCCAAAGCCTAGTACAGGCTGATGGCATGGCTGTGGGCTAGGAAGGCAAGAAACCATGAGTCATGGAGCAGAGGGTGGGGTCAGGCCTCCTGTTGGTGGACTCTGGATGACCAGACCAGGGACCCACTCAGGAAATGGGGACAGGAAAGTTGTGACCAGCAAAGGACAAGCCTTCCCGGATGGCCACCAGAGGGCAGCAGCAGCCAGGTGTAGGTCACAGCGCCAGCTGTCACCAGGCAGAAATTTCCCCAGAGAGCCAAAGGGAGAAGCAATAAGCTCCTGGGGATGTGGTGGGGGAGGGGGGTGTCAAGAAAGGGGCAAGACTAAGTGGTCTGGAACCACCTCTAAGGGCTGCTGATTTATCAGGGACAGGCCCAGGTCTGGGAAGCAGGTAATCGCCCCTAGCCTGCCACCCCCAACACTTGGTCCCTCTGCCAAGCCATGGTCCCAAAAGGCACTCACCCCCAGCTGCTGGTCTTGGGGTCTGCGGGGGAGTGCAGAAGGCCCAGGAATTCCAGAAGCTCCTTGGGCACTTCCTGGTTCAAGTGCAGGATGCCCTGGAGGACAGAGTCACCAGTCAGCTGGGCCGTTTCACACCAGGGGCCTTCCAGAGCTCCTCAGCAGAGAGGCCAGGTGGGGGAGCAGATGCTGCCGAAGCAGGAGGCGGGTCCGTGCCCAGCACAGGGCCAGGAGTAGCCCCTGGGCACAGCTGGTTGTGACCCCAAACCCTACAAGGATCCGAGGTCTCCAGGACAAGAGCACGGAATCCAGCTCAGGGACTTTGTGCATCCGCCTTCCTGAGACTCTTATCTGACATGAGGCCAACTTGGACTATCCTGCACCTGCCCTGCGCCGCAATCTCGGCAACTCAGGATTTTCAGGCCCATTTCACTCCAGCAAAGACACTGAGGGCAGTGAGTGACTTGCCCCACCCCCATCCCCACATCCTGCCCACGCCCCTGCAGTGACATCCCCCACAGTACCTGAACGTGGGCCCCCAGGTATCCCCGCACCTTAGTTTAGGTTCCCAGGTACTCACCCCCCCCCCACACACCTGCACGTAGGCCCATAGGTATCCTCCATACCTACACATAGGACCCCAGGTACCCCCGCATCTGCACGTAGGTCCCTGGGTACCCCCCACACCTGCACATGAGCCCCCCCCCCCCCCCCCCCCCAGGAATCCCCTGTGCCTGCACGTAGGTCCCCAGGTATCCCTCACACCTGCACGTAGGCCCTCAGTTAACCCCCCACACCTGCAAGTAGGACCCCAGGTACCCCACACACCTGCACGTAGGCCCCCAGGTACCTGCCCGCACCTGCACATAGGCCTCCAGGCCCAGCCACTGCTGCTCCAGCCCTCTGGTTCTCCAGCCAGGCAGGCGTTTGGAGGGAAAGTCAGGCACTTGGTACAGTTTCTTGGTCTGCCAGGAGGGCCCGATCAGACACCCCTGCAAGTGCTAGGGGGTGGGGGCAGGGGACAGGTGGCCAGTGGGTGGGGAGGGGGGGCAAGGATAGGTCAGGCTGGAACATACCCACTCCCTCCCCAAGCCTCAGGACTGTGGGAGGGTGTGGGGCCAGGGTGTCCCTGTGCTTCGGCCAGGAGCCAGTCGGGGTCTCGGGGTTCCTGGGCGTCTCACCCACTGGTGCAGCGTGTAGAAATCGCAGTAGCACCTGGACAGCGTGTGTCTGTGCCCGCCGCACCACACCTGTACTCGGAATAATTGCAGGAGCATTTTTGGCCTGAGCTTCCTCCGGGATCCTCCTGCATCTCCACGATACAGACGGGGTCAGCCAAGACCCTGACCCGCCGAACCTGGGGACAGGTACACGGCGCCCCCACTCACCAGGTAGCCTTTGGACTCTTCCTGGACTCTGGGGCATCAGAGCCCGCCAACAGGATGTGAACCAACAGCATCAGGGTCCTGTGCCTATTGGAGTCTGACCTCAGCCCTGCTCTTATCCCTGCCCCTCGACACGTAGGCACACCCTGTCCTCTCTGGCCCCACCCCTGGGTCTCAGTTCTGCCCTCACCCCTGTCCCAGGACACTGAGCCAAGAGTAGTGGTCCCTAGAGCTTCATAGTATTCCAAGCGAGGGGATAATCATCCAGAGACCTTCCAGTTGCTCGAAGAGGACTGATTTTTGCCTCCAGACTGCTCCAGGTGACTTGTTACTTCGTTCCCAGACAGTACTCCAGGATCCTCCATAGATGGGGACATCCAGATGATCATCTCCCATCCAGAGCGATCCCTCCAACCATCATTAACTTAGTGGTCCCGTGTCTATCCCAGCTGCCTTTTCCACCAGCTCATGAGGCAGGCTTCCAAACCGTGGAGCGATCCTCCTGGCCCTTGTCTCTACTGTCCTTCGATGTTAGTCTCATAATTATCCTACTTTGTATTCCATAAATGAGTGCATTCTATGTCTGTCCCTCTTTTTCTGATTAACCTGATACTTTCCATGTCCATCCACTTCTAAGCAAATTTCATTACTTCATCTTTTCTAACAGTTGCATAGTATTTCACTGTATAGATGCACCATGGTTTCTTTAACCAGTCATCTGTTCTCAGACACTCAAGTTGTTTCCAGATTCTGGCTATTGTGAACAGTGCTGCAATGAACATACAGGTGCAGATGTCATTTCTACTGTTTTTTTTTTTTTGCATCTCCGAGATATATTCCCAGAAGTGGTATTGCTGGGTGATATGGCGCGCGCACTCTCTCTCTGTCTCTCTCTCTGTCTCTCTCGCTCTCTCTCTCTCTCGTGGTGTTTCTGTCTGCTTTTGATATTAGGGTGATACTTCTATCATAGAAACTGTTTGGAAGTTTCTTTTTCTTCAATTTCCTGGAAAAGCTTGAACAGGATTAGGAGTAGGTCCTCTTTAAAGGTTTGGAAGAATTCACTACTGAATCCATATGGGCCAGGGCCTTTTTTTTTTTTTTTTGGAGACTTTTGATTACTATATCAATTTCTTTGATAGTGATAGGTTTGTTCAGATATTCCAAGTCTTCTTGGGATGAGCTTTGAGAGATTATAGGAGTCCAGGAATTTATTCATTTCTTAGAGGTCTCTTATTTCTTGGCATAAAGATTCTCAAAGTAATCTCTGATTATCCTTTGAATTTCTGTGGTTTCTGTTGTGATGTCCCCTTTTCATTTGTGAATCTGTTTAGAGTCTCTCTCTCTCTCTCTCTCTCTCTCTCTCTCTCTCTCTCTCTCTCTCTCTCTCTCTCTCTCTCCCTCCTCCCCCTTCCCCGAGTCTTGCCAGTGATTTACTGATGAGAAAAACATTTCTCAAAGAAACAGCTCTTGGTTTCATTGATCTTTTGGATTGTTTTTTGGGTTTCCAAGTCATTAATTTCTGCTCTAAGTTTTATTATTTCTTTCTTCTACCTTGTTTGGACTCCTTTTGTTGGTCACTTTTCAAGATCCTAAACTGTGAGGTTAAGTTTCTCATGAGGTTAAGTTACTCATTCCTTCCTGAGGAATAAACTTGTAGAGCTACAAACTTCCCTCTTAACATGCTTTTGCCATGTTCCATAAATTCTGGTAATTCATGTTTTCATTCTCATTTGTTTCCAGGAGTTTTTATTATTTCCTCTCTAAGATACTGGTTGTTCAGTAGTGAGCTGCTTAGTTTCCAGGTGTTTGATTTGAATTTCTGTTTCTCTGTGTGATTCACTTCTATTTCCAGTGCATCATAGTCTGAAAAGATCATTGATACAATTTTAATCCTCTTAATTTTATGGAGGTATGTTTTGTGGCCCAGAATGTGGTCTATCTTGGAAAATATCCTATATATAGAAGAATGTGTATTCAGCTTTTTTGGATGAAATGTCTAAACCTTGCGACTTTTTGGATGAAATCTGCTAAACCTCTGTCTTCCATTTCTTCCCTCAGATAAAGTATGTCCTTGCTGAGTTTGAGTCTGGTTGATCTATTGAGAATGAAATCACCAACTATTATTGTGTTTCTATCAATGTCTTTCTTCAAGTCTATGAGCAGTTGTTTTAAGTATTTTTCTGGTACCTCATGAGGTGCATATATATTTAGGAGTGTGAGTTCTTCCTGATGTACAGATCCTTTGAGCATTAAGAAATTACCTTACTGTCTCTTGTAACCTTCAGTCTGATATCTATGTGGTCTGATAATAGTATAACCACCCCAGCTTTTTTGAGGGAGTTGTTTGCTTGTGGAATTGCTTTCCATCCTTTGAAAGCAATGAGTCTGTGTTTGCTCTGACTGTTCAGATGCATTTCTGAGTTTCAGGCAGCAGAATGTTGGGTTCAATTTTCGAATTCATCTTGTCACTCTGTGTCTTTTAATTGGTCTGGTTAGCCCATTGATACTGAGAGAGATTATTGTTGACGACTTTATCCCACTTTTCTGTAGCAGTTTTGTGTGTTTGGGGGGCTTGTCTAGTCTTAAAGTAGCCCATTTAGTTTTTCCTGCAGCCATGGTTTTGAGTTTATGAAGTTTCTCAGATGTTGTTTGTCTGCGAAGCTCTGTGTTGTTCCTTCAAGTATGAAAGTCTAGCTGGGTATAGTATTCTTGGTGAGGCATTCATTTCATTGAGTTTTTTTTTACTATATCCCCCCCACTGTCTTTGCACCTGGAGAGTTTCATCAGATAAGTCTGCTGTAAATCTTAAGGATGCACCTTTTTAAAAATTTATTATTATTATTATTATTATTATTTTATTAGTGAGACACCATGAGGTACAGTTGTAGACTTACAAACTTTAGTGTTTGGGTTTCAGTTATACAATGATCAAGTACCCATCCCTTCACCAGTGCCCATTCTCCACCACCAATGAACCCAGTTGCCCTCCTACCCCCCCAGCACCCCGCCCCACCACAGAGACTGGCCCACATCCAGAAGAACAAAATCAACCGGTGTTGGCACAGATGTGGCGAGAAAGGGACCCTCCTTCACTGCTGGTGGGAATGCTGACTGGTTCAGCCCTTTTGGAAAACAGTATGGACGATTCTCAGAAAACTAGAAATTGAGCTCCCATTTGACCCAGCAATACCACTCCTGGGAATATATCCCAGAGGAACAAAAAAGTATAGTCGAAATGGCATCTGCACTTGTATGTTCATTGCTGCACTGTCAACAGTAGCCAAAATCTAGAAAAAACCTGAGTGCCCAAGAACAGATGACTGGTTAAAGAAACTTTGGTACATCTACACAATGGAATACTATGCAGCAGTTAGAAAGGATAAGTCATGAAATTTTCAAACAAGTGGTTCTACATGGAAAGTATCATTTTAAGTGAAATGAGTCAGAAAGAGAGGGACAGACATAGAAAGACTGCACTCATCTGGGGAATATGAAGTAACAGAATGGTAGATGAACACCCAAGAATAGTTGAGATAAGTACCAGGAGGTCTGCTCCACAGATTGGAAGCTGTCAGCACATGCTGGGGGAAAACACAGCTCAGATAGAGAAGGGAACACCAAGGATGCACCTTTATCAGAAATTTTCTTTTTTGATCTTGCTGCTTTCAGAATTTTATCTCTATCTGTGTTTTTCCCCATTCTGCTAAGGATGTGTCTTGGAGTATTTTTATGTAGATTTCTTTTCATTGGTACCCTTCAGGCCTCCTGAATCTGTGTGCATGCACTCTCCAGCTCTTGGACTGTTTCAGCAATGATGTCCTTGAGAGTTCCTTCTTCATCTGGGTTTTCTTCCTGTCCCTCTGGGACTCCAATGATTCTTATGTTATTCCTCTTGTCTTGATCCCGGTTTTCTCTTGATAACTGTTGGTTTATTTTGAGGCTCTTTTCCATTTTCTGCTCTTGTCTGGAGATTCTCTGCACCTCATTTTAGAGCTCACTGATTCTGTCCTCAGCAGCTGTTACTCCGATGCTGAGATCTTCCACTGAGTTTTTTTTTCTTGGCCCACCAAGTTTTTTAGGTCTGTCATTTTTGCTTGTCTTTTCTTTTCCATTTTTCTCACTTCTGTTCTCATATCCTTTTTCTGGGGAGGGGGGGTCACACCTGGCGATGCACAGGGATTACCTGGTTCATGCACTCAGGTATTACTCCTGGCGGTGCTCGGGGGACCATGTGGGATGCTGGGAATCGAACCCGGGTTGGCCACATGCAAGGCAAACTCCCTACCTGCTTTGCTATCACTCCAGCCCCCTCCTCTTGTGTTTTATCAGCAGTGTGTTCCATTGATTCTTTGATTCCCCTTGAACTTTGAGATTCTTTGAGCTCCTTTGAGATTCTTTGAGCTCCTTTGAGATTCTTTGAGCTCCATCATTAACAGCTCCATTCAAAAATCCTTATCTGAGAGGTTATGTAGTTCATTATTACTGTTTGATTCATCCAGACCAGTGATTTCACTCACTAAGCCTGATGAGTTTCTGCGTTGTTTTACCATTATGATTTTTGTGTTTTGTAGTTTTTCAGCTGCATGTTGTATGCTTTGGCCCCTGCAGTGGACTGTCTTTGTGTGTTACTGTGGATTATGCATAGGTAAAGAAATATGAGGCCTGGGTTAACTAATATCCCAAATGTAGGATGGAGATGAAGTAACTTTTTGTGGTCAGAGATTTTCAAGGTATGCTGTGAGGGGTAGATCCGGGGGCGATGCTGGGGGTCCACACACTGGTTTTGAGAAGTTAGATCGGCATATTGGGGGAGACAGCTGCCAGGGGAGGGAAGTTCCTGGGTGAGTTGCTGAGAGTCGGAGCTTCCCTTTGGGTGAGGGGCTGGAGCTTGG